ATTACCATCAGAGTCTAGATCATCAGAGTCACCTTCATCTTCTGAGTCTTCTCCAGAGTCAGAATCACTATCAGAGTCAGAATCAACGTCAGAGTTTACTTCAACTTCAGAAATTCTTAACTCTTACCTTTCTTCAGGAGTTCTAACATCAGAATCAGATTGAGACTTATCCCAATTCCAAACTTCTGATTCCTTCACAATCACATCTCTGTTGATTTCAATTTTATTAGTTTCTGGACAATAGAGCTTGTATGCACCTGTACTGTGGTACCCTATCAGAATCATCACTTTGCTTCTATCATCCAGCTTCTGTCTTCTGGCTTCTGGAACATGTTTATAGCAAACAGAACCAAACACCTTCAGATGACTAACATTTTGCTTGTCTCCAGTCCACTTCTGCATAGGAACTATTTCCTTCAACTTCTTCGTAGGACATCTGTTGAGTACATACGTTGCAGTGGCAACAGCTTCTCCCCAGAGCTTCTGAGGAAGTTTCTTCTCCTTTAGCATGCTTCTCACCATATCAAGCAAAGTGCGGTTTCTTCTTTCAGCAAGACCATTATGTTGAGGGGTATAAGGAGCAGTAACCTCATGCTCAATTCCATTCTCCTCACAGAACTTCTGGAACTCTTTGGAGTTATACTCACCTCCACCATCAGTTCTAAGAATCTCCAACTTCTGACCACTCTGATTCTCAGCCTTCATTCTGAACTTCTTGAATTCATCAAACACCTCATGTTTAAATTTAATAAGGGATACCCATGTCATTCTTGTGAATTCATCAACAAACAACACAAAGTACTTATTCCCTCCAATTGATGCTACTGGAAATGGACCACACACATCAGAATGTACAACTCCCAAGGCATGTTTTGCTCTTGGAGCAGCTTCTGACGCAAATGGCAATCGTGGTTGTTTTCCTTCCATACAAACTTTGCATGATTTTTCAGGCTTCTTAATTGCAGGAATTCCATGTACCAACTTCTTTGAATTCAGATGTTTTAAGCTTCTGAAATTCAAATGTCCAAATCTTCTGTGCCACAGCTCACTCTCCTTCTCAGCACATGTTGCACTAAGACATTCTGAGTCTGCAGTTCTGACATTCACCTTGAATGTTCTATTCCTTCCCTGTTCTGACTCCATAATCAACTTCTGATTGTAGTCATACAGCTTCAGAAGATTGTCCTTCATGGTAACTGAAAAACCTTTCTCAATTAATTGTCCCACACTCATCAGATTGCTTCTGATGCCAGGTACGTACCACACGTTCTGAATCAATGTTGTTTTCCCATTGTTCAGAGTCACTCTGACATTTCCCATACCTTCTGCATTAAGATATTTTTCATCAGCACATCTGATCTTTGTCCTCTTTTCAGAGTCAAAGTCAACCAGCCATTTCTTGTTTCCAGTAAAATGATTTGAACATCCAGTGTCCATATACCACCAGTCTATCAGATTCATATTATCAGATTTAGAAGCCATCAATAGCACAGATTCGTCATCAGAGCTTCTGGCTATATTTGCTTCTTCTGATTTTCTCTCCTTGTTTGACCAACAATCTCTAGCAAAGTGACCAAACTTCTTACAACAGTAACATTGGATCTTCTTCTTGTCATACTTCTCTTTTCCCTTCTGAGCATTCTTTTGCCTATCAGAGATTGAGCTTTCTGACTTCTGACCACCATCAGATCTTCTCTTGACTTCTGACTGCTTCTGATACCTCCTATCAGAAGTTGCTTTCAGAGCCTGCTGCTCTACTTCCCTTTCAGAAGTTCTCTCAGTCAAACGCAACTCTTGCGCTTCTAAACTGCTCTGCAGCTCTTCAATTCTCATGGTACTCAGATCTTTGGAATGTTCTATTGCTACCACAATGTAATCAAATTGAGAGGTAAGGGATCTCAATACCTTCTCCATGATTGTTTCTTCAGAAAGAGTTTCTCCACACGCCTTCATCTCATTAGTGATCAGAATCACTCTGGAGATGTATTCAGAAACTTTCTCATTATTCTTCATGTTGAGATTCTCATATTGCTTTCTCAAGGACTGAAGCTTCACCTTCTTCACTGATGCGTCACCACCATAACATCTAACCAGTGTGTCCCACGCAGCCTTTGCTGTCGTTGAATCTGCAATCTTCTCAAACACATTTACATCAACACATTGATGAATAAAGAATAATGATTTATGATCCTTCTTCCTTACTTTCTTCTGCGCGTTTTTCTGTTCATCCGTTGCATCTGCTGCTACCGGAACATAACCATCAGTGACAAGATCTAGAACATCTTGAGCACCAAATAATACACGCATTTGGATCATCCAACGATTCTAGTTTTTACCGTCAAATACTGGAAGTTTAGTGTTCATGTTGCCGTTTCCGTTCATCTTCACCTTGCACAATACACTCAGATTTCTCACACAGTGTTTCCCAACCCACAGAATTAAAATTCTGATCAGATTTTGTTCAAGATTCAACACGAATCTAAGAATCAAAATCAAACACACAAGACCTCATGTTCACTCGTGTTTCCCGTGTTTCCCAATGAATCTGAACCGGAGCTCTGATACCAATTGTTGGTGCAAAGGTGAATAAATGATGAACAGAAGGAAATATTCTAATAAGAATGACAGCTACAAAACATGATTAAAAGTTACAATGATTGTCACCCTATTTATAAGCTAAAACTAGGGTTACTAGAATAAGATAAAATACTAATATACCCTCTAACAAACTTAGGGGCTAAGAAAAATAGTACAACTAAATAAATATGAATTACTATTAATATTCTAATATTTTCCACTTGAGAGAGTTAGTGACATACTTGTTGATTTCTATCCATGTTGGAGCCCTTCTTAATAGTGATGCAAATGTCAATTTTCTCATATTTGTGGGTGATTAGTTGAGTTTTCTCCTTAAAATGACAAAATGTCTTTTCATTTAAAATCAATCAAAACAAACACTTTTGTTATTGTTACCACGAACTACGAGGTTTTGATCCTCCATTTCACTTTGTGGATACGTAGGCATGAGGTTCAAGAAGTCTTGTCAAACACCAAAAACCTTAAAAAATATTCTCTTCTCATCTCCTGAATCTTTTGCAAACAACATCATTTTAAGTCAAACATATATTTTCAAGAGGTTCTTATAGAGTACTATAGATGTTTTTTGTGCTAACACATTCCCATTACACAACCAACCCCTTTATCTTTTATCTCTCTGTTTTATTAATTTTGTTTTAAAATTTCTGTGGATTTTGTTCGCTCTTATTCTCTTTCCTTTAGAAAAATAAAAGTGCATTGACGACTCTTACTTATATGAGTTAAGTTAAATAATAGTTTCATCTCAAGTTTTTCCACTACAACTCTGATTAATACAAAAATGTGAACAATCAACTTTGAAGAGATTCAAATTGATGAGTTGGTGTCGGTATTCCAACGGTGGAAGGCGCCAAGTACAATAACACAGAAGAAAGAATCAGATACCCGTGTAGGTGTGAGATGAGAAAGAAGGCGGTTTGGTTTGTTTTTTAAAAACACTATTAAAAGAAACACACGTGGTAGAATCAAGTGAAAGCACTTTCGCACTCTCGATTTGAACGGACAAAATTGGCTCAATGTTGCATGACTTTCTCGTTTCCATTGAACACCATCATGAACCTAATAAGGTCCAATATCGTCCTTGAACCCCATTTGCAGTGGGTAGTGACATGTAGCAATTAGCCTACAATTGATAGTTGATACAACTATCAGTCAATTCTGCATCATTCCAATGTTTGTTGATAGAAAAAATATTCAATAAAAATATATGTAAATTGACAACTTTTAAATCTGTTGATAAAAATCTTAAACAACCTTTATTGAAACTATGATTTTAAGTAAAATAGAGAGCAAAATGATTCATTGACCCTCGATTCATATTATTGTTAGCAATAGTCTATAGCAGTTGTACTACTATATATTAAGATTGGGCATTCCCTACCAAAATCAAAAACATAAATGTTAGAATATTTGTTTTTAATATTCCTCTTATTATTGGATAATATAACTCTAAACTGGACCATCCCATGTTCCAGCTCAATGACAGCTGATCGATCATGTCTAGCCAGTATCAAACTGACAAGACATTAAGCATTTATGAAATGAGCAGATGTAACAATAGAATATGTAGGACACTTGCATACTTTGGATTTTCTAAGCACCTGTAACATCAAAATGGTATCAGAAGAATTCAATGTTTTTCCATAGTTTCACAGTTAATAATACATCATGCCATCCACCTAATTTCAGTTTATCACTTCATACTTTATTTCCTTTACTTGAAAGAAAGACTCATACATAGATACCGAACACGACACCAAATTAACACGTCACTCTTGATACCGGACACGACACCGATCCAAACACGTCGACAGTGATATACGACACCGAATTGACACATCACTCTTGATACCAGACACGATATTGATACAAACAGGTCAACACTGATATAATTTGAACAAAATGATAAATTGTGCATAATTACAAGAGTCAGTATCAAACATTGAAACATTAAAACAGACATACTTTTTTCCGAGGCGTCTACGTTACAAGATCAATATTCATCTAAAGAATCATCCAATAGCCCATCAACCCAATGCTCAATGCTTAAATCACTAAACAAGATGCTTAAATCAGTAAATCAACAAACTAATCAAATTCAAAGTACTAACAAGTTAAGAGCTGAGTAACAAGGATTGTGTTTGCCATTGAATTTATCAGAAAACCTGTTAATAACAAGAATCTAAAACTCTATAACAAAAAACCTTAAAACAATTCACCCCAATAATCCCTCAATTTAAAGAAACCCTAAATAACAAACTACTAACCTAAAACACAATTTCCACCATGAAACAAACTAATCACACAAACCCAATACAATAAAACAAGCCTAGATTCAAGGGTGTTTAAAAATTAGAAAACTTGAAACATACCCATCTTGAAGAAAAAAAAAAGGGAAACTAGAATCAACCAACATGGAAGGGACCAATATCACCAGAACGAAGAGAAGAAGCAAATTCATCAGCAACAGTTAAGCAAGAAGTGATCCAACCAGCGAGAGCTAACCAAGTCATCTTAGCGATGTAAAGAGCAGCGTTAAGAGCCATTGCCATGGAAATCGAATGGTTTCAAGGAAGAAAAAGAAGAATTTGTAGGGTAGTAGTCATGATTCAAGAACATGTACTTCTGGAAGGAAAGTAGTTGTGTGGGTTATGGTCAATTTATTTAACATTTCTTTCTCTGTCAAATTAATAATACCCTTATTCTGAAAAGATTACACTATTCTCGGAACTTCTCATCATTATTATATAATTATAAATAAAATTGATTTTTTTGTTAGTTCATTGATTTTGGTTACTTCATTCAAATTTAAAACTTTACATTTATATATTTGTAGTGTAGTAGTTATTGTCAATTTGTTTATGGATTAAAAAGTTTTTGGTACCATGAATCTAAATTAGATACAAATACTTTTAGCGTAAATTATGGTAAAATTTTAATTTATTTTGAAAAAAAATAAAATAAAAAAGTGACATTATATTAAATTATAGTTTTTAATTTGTTGAGGTTATCAATATCAATTAAGTTTAAGGATTTCGGAATGTTCGCCTAAAAAATATTATTTTTGTATAGAATGTATTTAAGTATTTATTGTTGAATTTTTGAACTTCAGTCAAATTATTAGAATTAATAAAGAATAAAATTTAAAAAGAATTAATAAATATTTCAAAAATTTGTAAAAAAAAAATTATATTATAAATAAATAAATATTGTAAAATGTTTTTTTTGTCTAATGTTATAAAATATTGATCTAATCAAAACCAAACCCGACTCATTAGAAAATTGCTAACCAAACTGAAATAAACTAAAAATCGTAAAAAAAGAGAATTGCATTTAGTTTGCATGTGTTTGGATCTTTTTTTAACCAAACCTCGTCATGTGACAATCCAAACTTCACTTAACTCACATCTAACATGTTCTAGACTGGCCAAAGGCCCAATTGACCAAGACTAAATCGATCTCTAATCTACTTCACTTGGCCCAATGTATAACATCAGTTCTTACGCTAAGAACAAGGTACAATATCTAATCTCGAATTATCACTATATTCATTTCGAATCTTAAATTGACTTGGATGTTGAAGTGTTAACTATGTAAGTCCATTTCGTGTCATTGTAAAGGAGATCAGAGGCACAATTCAAGATCATCATTTCACTAACTGTATATATTTCTGGTTCCCGAACTAAACAGTGACATCATGTGTGGGAATTGACTTCTCATTCCTACGATTTCCACGAAAACCATGTTCTCTTCATAACACAATTGTGCAAACATATAAGTTTTAGATCTGGATTATTATGATTTTAGATCCAGTCTCCTATTTACCAATTCGTATCCTCATTAGGTCACCGAATCGAGAACAAATCGACTTCTGATTTCCATGCATTTTGTGAATATCAAATCGCCTATGAGTTTCATCTTGTGCAGCCTTCTGAGATCTCAAAATCAAGAGCATTTATAGGAGAACACAAAGATATATACCATAGTTAGTTTAGTTCGTTTTCATCTCTATCGCAATTCGTCAGATTAAGATCTCCGATTCCATCATGAATTCAGAAAATTAGCAAAAAGAAGGTTTTGAGAACTATATTTAGGGTTACGTTGGGGTATGAAGGACATCTTCCTGTAGTTCATGTCAGAGGTTCGCAATTCGCCTTCCGATCCAATGCCACCCTCCCTTTTCCCCTTACAAGGGTACTTATCGAAATGACATCTTCATGATACGATAAGTTCATAGTTAACATCAGGCGTGGAACAAGTATCACCCATTATGGGTAGCAAAGGATCTCCGACCTGTAGACGGGCCTTCCTCAGGGAAGATACGGTGTCACCTTTATTGCTTGGTTTGGTCCTCTCTAAGAGGGTCGGCCCTAGGGCATCGAGTGGGGAGAAAAGGCGCCTGAGTGCAGATATAGTCTGACCGGTAAGTGCAGTGGGGTTGGAGCCCGTCCACAAGTTGGAGATCCTTTGGTACCCATAATGGGTGACGCTTGTTCCACGCCCGATATTAACTATGAACTTGTCGTATCCTGAAGATGACGCCTCGATAAGTACCCTGGTAAGGGGAAAAAGGATGGTGGCGTTGGATCAGAAGGCGAATTGCGAACCTCCGGCATGAACTCTAGGGAGATGTCCTTCATACTCCAATGTAACCATAGATATGGTTCTCAAAACCTTATCTTTGCTACTTTGCAGAATTCATGATGGAATCAAAGATCTTAATTTGACGAATTCCAATAGAGATTGCGGCTAATTGAAGTGCCTATAGTATATTTTCGCGTTCACCTCTAAATGCTATTGATTTTGAGATATCAGGAGGTTGCACAAGATAAAACTAGTAGGTGGTGTAAGTACAAAGTATGCCTAAGAGGGGGGGGGGGGTGAATTAGGATTTAGGGACTTTTTTCCGATTTTTCGATATTCTTGAATTTTACTTCTTTAAGAATGTTGGTGATGAAAGCGGTAAAAGCAGAAAAGGAAAGAACACGGAGAATTATAGTGGTTCCTCTCACAATCCGAGAGTACTCCACTCCCCTTTCAACACGAAAGAGAATTTACTATAGTTTTAGAATTGTACAACCTATCACACCATCAACCGGTGAGGCCTACTTTCTAACAACTATACAACAACTTAGTGTGCAAGAACAATCCTCTTGCAAGCACTAACCCTTGTGTCCAACAGTCCTGGATCACAAGTCACAATAGAGATAATTTGAATGAATTAATTTGAGAGTAATAGCAATGATATCAATACATAGATTGATCTTCTCCTTTTTTATCAGAATTCACTCTTTAGTATCAATACAAGTGTTCAATGCTATGGATACGAAATATATGAACAATATGAACACTTTGAGAAAATTTGAAAATATTTGAATTTGAGTGAATTTGATTCAATGAGTATTTTGAAAATTATTGGAGGTGTTTTTCAATTTTGAAATAATCAGAATTTATATGAGCCAAAACACCATTTCAAAAAGGTATAATTGAGTATGAATAAAAAGATGGAAAGGTATAACATTCAAACAATATTTGAACTTGAAAGGAAACAATTTTTCAAAATACGTTCAGTGTTGATCGGTTAACCATATAGGTTAATCGGTTAACACTGTAACGTTAGCTCAAAGAATTCAAATTTTAAGGGCGTTAACTGATTAACCCATATGGTTAATCGGTTAACACTGTAAAAACTTAGAAAAATATTTATGTTTTAAGTGTTATACCAATTCTAAAGAGTTTAAAAACATGCCAATGCAGTATGCAAAAATTATGGATTGTTTGAACACTTGTATATCAAATTAAAGAGGGAATTTTGATATACCAGCCTTGTGTCCAAGTCTTGACAGATGAGGAATAATTTGCACAGCAGCTTGACTTGTAAGTTATAATTGCATAGACTTGATCAGTTTGAAAGCCTTGACTTTTTGCAATCATGAAGTGAGCTTGAGTTGAGTTGACATCATCAAAACATTGAGATTGAAGTATGATTGCTTCTACATTCTCCCCCTTTTTGATGATGACAAACAAAAGCGTCTGTGCCATGTTTTTGACGATGTTTCAAACTGATCTTGGTTTGCTTCTCCCCCTATGACCAGCAACTCCCCCTATCTAAACAGAAGGCAAAAAATTCTACGCAGAGAGATATTAGAAGCACAAAGAGAGAGATATTAGAAGCACAAAGCTCTTCTCCCCCTTTGTTATCAGCAAAAAAGGAAGAAGCTTTCAAACCAGAAAGCAAAAAATATAGGCACAAATGGTAGCAAACAATCAAGTAAACAAGAAAACAAACATAATTGATAAAAATGCAGCACATAGATCATGCAACACAAATATTGTACGATTACATAGGTAATGAAGCTAAGCAACATAAACATAATTAGGAATGAAAAACAAAAGTAAACAACATCAGCAAATATTTTCTAAAAATCGTCATCAGCCATATCCTTTTCTTCTGCTTCCTCTTCTTCTTCACCTTCTTCATCCTCTTCATCAATGTTGCCGGTGTTGGTGTGGCGAGAGGTAAGTATAAGGTTTTGGAAAGAAGCAATGGCCCGGGAGGTTTCGCGGTGACAGTTCATGGTTTCGCAGTGACAGTTCATGGATTCTCTATGTTGGGTCATCATAGTTTGTTAGAGAAACTCATTAGTAATACCTCCTTCTGGTACGGGATAGGCTTGGTTTGAGGCTGCTCCTTCATCAACATACTTGTAGGTGCCATCAACGTCTTTGATGATGTCGGTGTTATTTACAATTGTTATGTCATTTATCTCATTGGTTTTCGACTTCATCTTGGTAAAAGGTTCTCGCTTGAGATCCAATTTAGACAACTCAAGAATTCTTGACACCAGCCGAGCACAAGGAAGACGCGTCTGAAGCGAAAGCTGTTGTTGAAGATGATACATTATAGTCAGAATCCAATTTACCCGAATCTTGTTCTTGATAGCAAACAGAAGTTGCATTTCCAAATCATTGATCTGAGCGTGATTGGAGTATTTCGGAATGAGAACGTAGCAAATGACATAATGTAACATTCGGTCAGATACCGTCAAATTCTTTGTGTAACACAGCATGCGGGTAGTCCGCTGATTAGCAACAATCGTCTCTTTTGGGAACCTGCAAAACCGGTAATAATATTCCATTTTGTCGTAGTTAGCCCACGGTCCTTCATTGTGGTTAACCCCTTTTCGGAGAAAATATCTGGTAGATGGAATTTGCAGCTTCGAAGCAATATCAGACAATTTTTCCTTCAGCAGACAGTCGCGAACAACCGTTTCCAAAACATGTTCACCATTACCATTCAGATATACAGAAAGCTTATTCAAGAAAGTCTTAACCAAATCCAGGTAGCAGTTACCAGAGTCAGAGACAAACTTATCTATCTTTTGGTATTTCAGCAAAGCAGGAAAATCAAAAGAAGATACCAGAAAAGCTTTAAGATTGACATATTTTACCGGTAGGATGTGGCGAACGCGAACCTTGAAGTCCATGTGAAGTTTCTTGGTGGTTTCTATGGGGATGCTTTCTTCTTCAGATGCAAAGTTGTATTCTGGAA